GTTAGGCTGCCAGTTCTGACATCCTCCACCTGTCACATAATGACATATAGTGGATCCTCTGTTCTCGTTGATCTCCGTTATTGCCAATTTCGGTTTTTGCCGACTTTTTTCGTCAGTTTCTTGGTTCCGTTTTCGTTGATTACCTCTGTTTTCATTGATCATACGGAACCTGTCCAGCACGCAGACAAAGCTGCCTCCTACACCATTCTCAGCCAGTGTAGTGTTGTTTCTCAGTGAGTGAACATATCCTGCCAGGTCATACAAAACATTTCGTAATACGTAATCCATTGTTTTTGCTACTTGTTTATTGTGACTGCTAAATAAGCAACCATGGCCCCAAAGAAAGCTCCTAGTGCCAGTGCTTCGGTAAAGAAAGTGAGGAACACCATAGAACTGAAAAAAGAAATCCTAAGAAAATATGATAGTGGCATACACATTGCTGAACTCGGCAGGATGCACAGGAAGTCGCCATCAACAATCAGCTCCATTGTGGCAAAGAGAAAAGAAATCATGGAAGCTGATGTTGTGAAAGGGGTGAATGCGATAACCAAACAGAGATCCCAAACAATTGAGTGGAGAAATTGTTGTTGGTGTGGATCAGACAGAAAGAGTTTGCAGGAGATAGTGCTGTGCAGTCTATAATTTGTGAAAAGGCAAGGCAGTTGCATGACGATCTCATAAAAAAACTGCCTGAAACAAGTGCTGATGTAGGTGAATTCAAGGCCAGCAAAGGCTGGTTTGAAAAATTCAAGAAGTGAAGTAGCTTACACAGTGTTGTAAGGCATGGTGAGGGTGCCAGTTCAAACAAGCAGCTGAAAAATTTGTGCAGAATTCAAATGTTATGTAGAAGCTGAAAAATTCCTACCCCAACAAGTGTTCACTTGTGGTGAAACAGGCCTGTTTTGGAAGAAAATAGCAAAAAGGACCTACATTACGCAGGAGGGAAAGGCACTCCCAGGACTCAAACCTATGAAAGACAGGCTAACTCTCTTGTTGTGTGGTAATGCTAGTGGGGATTTCTAAGTGAAGCCTTTACTGGTGTATCACTCTGAAAATCCCAGTGTGTTCAAGAAAAACAGTGTTGTCAAAAGTAAATTGTGTGTGATGTGGAAGGCTAACAGTAGGGCATGGGTCATGAGGGAAATTTTCCTGGAATGGTTCAATGAAGTGTTTGGCCCGAGTGTGAAGAAATACATCCTGGATAATAAATTGCCACTCCAGTGCCTCCTGTTAATGGACAATGCTCCTGCTCATCCTCCAGACTTGGAAGACCAATTGTATAAGGAATTCAGTTTTGTAACAGTGAAGTTCTTGCCTCCTAACACCACTCCTCTCATCCAGCCCATGGGCCAGCAGATCATTGCAAACTTCAAAAAACTGTACACCAAAGCAATGTTTCAAAGGTTCTTTGACATAACTTTGGACTCTGAATTGACCCTAAGAGAGTTCTGGAAGAATCACTTCAATATCTTCCACTGCATAGGCAGGGAGTGATTTCCAGGATGATGAAATCTGCTTTAGGAAAATTGTGGCCAGTGTGTGTCCAAAAGAAGGATTTTGAAGGGTTTGAGGCTGGCCCTGCCGACCCTACACTTGTTGTGCAATCAATTGTGGCACTGGGAAATTCCATGGGGTTGGATGTGAGTGGCCAGGATGTGTAAGAGTTGGTGGAGGACCACAATGAAGAGCTAACCACTGATGAGCTGCAAGAGCTTCATCTGCAACAGCAACAGACCACAGCTGAGGAAATTGCTTCAGAGGAGGAGGAAGAGAGATGGAAGAAGGTGCCATCTTCAAAGATTAAGGAGGTTTGTGCAATGTGGACTAAAGTGCATTCATTTGTAGAGGAACATCACCCTGAGAAAGTTGTTGCAATCCATGCTGGTGACTTTTATAATGACAATGCCATGTCCCATTTTAGGCAAATCTTAACCCTTTGACTGGTTCACTTATATATGCACGTCTCATGAGCCACCGTGTTTGATGTATTAATATGAATAAATTCTAGCAGTTTCAAATCAAGCGGGAGAAAGCTGGTAAACCTACATGTGAGAGAATGGGTCTACGTGGTGGGTGTCTTGGTAGTCCATTTTCACCATGCCTCGCGGTAAGAAGGAACTCACTCCTCTGCGGATTGGAGGTCTTTTGTTCCCATGTGATAACTCTAACAGTGATGCAAGTGCCAGTGAAAGTGAATTTCATGGTTTTGGAGAGAGTATGACCAAAAGCAGTGCCCAGGATAATGTAATTAGTGATGAAAATCCAGATGACCCATGACCTTCCACCTCTGGTGCTGGGCCATCTCATTCACGTTCACCTGTACCAGGACGAAACAGGAAACTATTTTCCTGTGTACAAGACTTAGATGTGAGCAGTGAAAGTGATAGTGATAGTGATTTCCAAGCTATTGGAAGCAGTTGCGACAGTGGAAGCTATTGGAAGCAGTTGCGACAGTGGAAGCTATTGGAAGCAGTTGCGACAGTGAAGGTGAATATTCTCCAGTGAAGTGGCAGTATGTACAATGCAGCATGCGTTCTGGTAGTGTGCCATATGCTGTTCCAAGTGGAAGGAGTAAATCTCGGAGTACATCCTGTGGCCCTACACCATGAACTGATAGTGAAGATGATGATATTGTTACAATGGGGATGAATAATGTGCGTGGGGCAGCAGGTGGTGGCGGTGGCGACATGAGTCATGTGGCACCAGCAGCGGGCCATGCTACTACCCACACTGCTAACTCAGCACAGCCACAACCACCCCCACACTTCCACAACCTACACAACTGCAACTACCTGTAAATATCCAGTACCCACCAGCAGACCACATCTGGGATTGGCAGCAAGGTGACAATTTTGTTCCCAATCCCCATCACTTTGATGGAATACAAAGTGGAATACAGCCATCATGTACAGTGATTGTACATATGTATATATATTATAGAACAATAGTAATACACATTTTTTTATATTGTTTGTGTAAACAAGTTTTGTAAACAATATGATGATACCAGTGTTTTTGCTATAATTATGTTACATTCAACGATTGTATACATGTATATGAACACTGTACAGTACTTTGGTCTCACAGGTCACATAAGTTATGTGAAAAAATAAAATAGTGAAAAAAAAAAAAGAAACCTTCGAATGCAAGTAAACCAAAGTTTACCAGGTAAGCGGCATTCACCGCTGTTGCCATACGCGGCTCATTTTCTGCCAACTTTACGCCTCTATATCTCGGTAAGTACCGATTGCATTTTTTTTTGGGGGGGGGGGCTTAAAACAATCAGAAAATTAATCTCAACATTTTCATAAGAAAAAATAATTTTTTTCTTTTTTTTTTTAATATTTTTTGACACCAAGACACACTTCAGGATTTGGGGTTGCGACAGTCAAAGGGTTAAAGAGACGCCAGAAACAGACCTATCTGGACAGATATTTTGTGCAACAGGGGTCCAGTGACTCCCAAGCTGGTCCTAGTGGCATTAAAAAACAAAGGAGGGAAGTGACCCCAGATAAAGACTTGGTACCTTGAGTCCTTATGGAGGGGGATTCCCCTTCCAAAGAATAACCTCTCTTCCCTCTCCCCTCCTCCTTGTGTTCCTTCCAGCACCAACAGCCTTCAATAATGGTAAGTGTCATGTGTAATGTTCATTCTTTTGTCCATGTAACTATCTTTAACCCTTAAATGGTCCAAACGTATATATACATTTTTTCAACATCTGAAAGTATGTAAAAAATGTAGATATTCATTTTTGTTTTACATTTGAAAACGTGTAAAAAAACTTTTATCTACTTTTTTTTTTGTTATATTTGAAAATATGCAAAAAAAAAGTAGATCTACTGTTGGAGCACTACGAATCTGAACGTCGATCTGTTTGGACCGTTTAAGGGTTAATGTAAAAAAAAAATTTTTTTTTGTTGCTACAGAAAGGGAGGGGAATGATTTTCTATTTTTTAGCTAACATACGTGTAAATTTTACCTTATTCCTAGTAATGACCCTCGTATTGTAGATAGTCTTAATGACCCTCGTGTAGTAGATAGTCTTTTTAGTATGATAATAAGATGTTATCTTCATTGTAGAATAATAATAAAATATTATAACCTCTATATTATAGTAATAAGGTAAAAGGACCCCAATGGAAATAAGTCACTCTGTCTGACTTTTTTGGGTTATCCTAGGTTCTCTACACATATGCTGCTATGTATGATAATTCTATGTAACTGTACACCTACCATCCGACTTACGACCTGCTTGACTTACGACCACTCGACTTAGAACCGTGTTTTTTATGCCAAATTTCTGGAAAATAAACAACTATTTGTGTTGTACACAGTGTTTATCCTAAACCTTACAGTATAAAATACAGTACTAACAGCATAAAAAGTAAAGTAAAACATGAAATACCAAAATAAAACAATAAAATAAAGTCATTACAAAAATGTTTTGTTGATATTCAGTAGTAAAGTTCGACTTACGACCATTTCGACTTACGACTGGTTTCTCGGAACCAAACTCGGTCATAAGTCAGATGGTAGGTGTATTTGTGTATACTTACTTACTTATACTTCTGGGTGTCTGGAAAGGATTAATTTCATTTACATTATTTCTAAGGGGGAAAATGGTTTTGGTTTTGGCCAATTTCAGTTTTGGCTGATGGCTCTGGAATGGAATAAACACGAAAACCGAGGGTCCACTGTGTTTTATTCATTCTAGAGTATATATCAGGTTTCTGTGTTATTTATATTGTTTATTATGTCATATTAGATAAATTTAGATAGATAAATAAGTTGTAGGGTTGATATTGGCAAAAATATTGAAGGAGTATTTTGTTGTGCCTGGAATGCCACTGGGACGGATTAATTCCATTTTTAATTCATTTACATGAGGAAAATTGACTCAACAAACGAGCAAATCAAGATGCAAGCAAGGTCACGGAAAGGATTAAACTCTTAAGTAGAGGTTCCACTGTATATGAAAAAGTTAAGAAATAATTTCTAACCTCTCGTTTCAAGGAAAATAATGAACGCCCAGCAGAATGAAGAAATTCTTCCCAGCGTCTTTTCTTTAATTCATTATCAAACGGTGTTATAAAATTTCTTTGTGTATGAATTTGCTTTTGAAGACTTTCTAATTCTTTCACACTATTAGATATCTGAGCAACCAGTCGTGTAACTTGACGAATACGAAGACTGGACTCTCCAATCCCTCGGTGAAGGGATGAAGGTTTTACTGCCCCAGCTTTCTTTGTAGTTTCCAGGTGTTTGGTGGATTTCTTATCTCCAGTTTTGCTTAACCTTGTGAAGACATCAGCACTGCGCTCACATTGTTCTGGTGGTAAATTTTCTCTTCCTGTGGGGGCTGTACTTAGTGTTTGATCTTGTGTGTCATGTTGATAACTTGAAGGAGGAGGTGCAGGGTTTTCCTGCCCCAGCCTGGCTTCCAGTAACTTGTATTTGGCTTTCAGCTGAGCTTTCAAGACTTCTTCAGGTTTAAAGTGCTGAAAGCAAAACAAAACATCAACACAAAAATATATTAAAGTTGAAAATTATTCAAAATCTTTCAGTGAATACAAGACAATAAATTTTTCTTGAGTATGTGGCCCTGAAAAAAAAATACTTTTTCAACTAAATTAAATTTACTGTATACAACATAAATACAGTAGGGCCCCGCTTTACGGCGTTTCGCCTTATGGCGTTCTGCTAATATGACGATGTCAAATTATGACCAAAATTTGCTATACGGCAAGCGGTCTTTCAAATATGGCGCCCCCACCCGGTTTGTTTACATTGTCCCTGACCACATCTATTATGTCAGGAAATTTTCCAAAATTTCAAGTGTTTTAAAGCTACTATGTATTTTATATGTACTCTGATAATTATACTTATGTGTACCTGTACCTAAATATACTTACACATTGTGCTGGTGTGCAGGTACACATTAAAATCGCTAAGTCTCTCTCTACTCATGACGCCAATACTACGTAATAATAATCACTCTTGGGCACACTAAATGTCTTATTTTACATTATTATAGGCAGTTTTATTAATCCATCTATGATATTTTCCTCAAAAATTATATATGAAACCCATTACATAGCATATAAACATGATACATACACTCACAAAATAAAAATTGACGTAAATATGAGATTTGTTTACAAAGCGGCTGTGTAGGTAGTGTCAGAAGAATTATGTTTTCTCTAGTCAAACTGGAGGATAACTGTATTAAAATATTCTTTTCATATGCCTTTACTCTATATATAGCAATTCACAACCCTTGTGGGTTTAGTGCTTTTTATTATTATAATAATAATATTATTATTATTATTATTATTATTATTATTATTATTATTATTATTATCTTCATTCACTCTAAAAATGGTGTGTTGCTGTTTGTTTATTCTGTACTAACTTGTACAACTTGTACACAATATAAAAGTATATGTATTGTGAGGTAATTATTATTAAAATAAAAAAATATTGAGGCAAATGTTTTACAAACTCTTACAAATGGACGTGAATGAACTAAAAGTAGACACATATTAATTTCACATTTATTTTGCCTGACCAAGTGATCGCCCACTACCTGTTCAGTTTGTGTTCTTACATTGCTCAACTCTGT